AACACGCAGCGAGCTCTCTCAGATGCCATTTTCTGGTAATCATTTTCTTCGCTTCCCAAATTGAATAAGCGTTTGGTGAAATACTTTCCCTGCAAAATGGAACCCCAAGTTTCCTTTGTTCGAGGGTTGGCAACTGCAGAACTTCTCTCCCACCCTGCCTTGAGGGCAGCATGTCTAGCTTTAGATGTTTGGCGCGAACGTTTGAGCTCTTTGGCCACTTCTGTCTCCGAATTCCCAGTGTCTTGGGGTTGGAGGTCCTCACCCTCGTTTGCATGAGCCAGCCATAAGTCACTGAATGGCATGGCTCATCAGACCGCAGGAGGCAAGTAAATTTGATATGAATGTAATGTGTGTGTAGCATACTGCAGTGCAACATAATTTCATATAGTATGTAATGTGAAATGCATGTATGTAGCGCAAGAAGATGCAATAATATTTCTGAGAGTGAGAGCGGATAAACAAATCTCTGGCTGGCTGTACTTCTGTACTGTGTAAAGCTAGCCTGGCTACAGCCGATGTTATCATATCTCTCTGGCACCTGTTGAGTCGCAGTAGGAGGACTTCGAACACTGGAAGCACAGCCTATGCCGCCGCATCCTTCTTTCTGGGGATTCTGCCATCTACTCTGAAACCATGGTATATTGTTTAGTCAGACTCCCCACCCCACTCGCCTCGTATGTTTCATAGAAATCGCGATCTTCTGGTGAACACTTGTCTTTGTCCACTTGGAACTTGTGAGTCAGCCCAACCACCTGCCAGCTGAGACAAGAAGTATGTCAATCTCAACCTGACGACAAGCCCATCTATAGGACATGATGGTCGATCAAGTAAGCTTTGGGTCTGTCTGTATCCATAGTCCATAGTCTATTCTATACATACTGCAAGCTCTTCTGAAAAAAATAATCCAGCACTAGCGCTGGCACTATGTCATTGTCAGCCGTTCATGCTTTACAGAACAACTTTGGGCGCCTGTTCCAGCAAAGCGACCTCTGGTCTCTCCTGCCCTGAATGGCATCATGAATGTGTTCAGCTCAAACTGGAAAATACAAGGACTGTACAGTGTTCAATCTGTTTGTTTCTTTTTTGTTATTTCTTTCGTTTTTTCATGGACAGTGACAGTATCAGAATCTGAACTTGTACACCTCTCTCTCTCTCTCTCTCTTTGTTTCTCTTTCTTTCTCTCTGAACTCTGAACTCATTTAGTAGTAGCACAGGCAAGTCTCGAATGAAGCGGGCTCCAATAAGCAGAGTATCACCCTGTACACTCATGAAGGGGTTCATAGTCTTCCGCTTGCAGTTCAGCTGCGAGAATGGAGGGCACGGTGGACCAAAGAGAAACAAGGTCGGCATATACTCACTCGGATCCTCCTGCAAAGGTTTTAGCAGAAAGGACAGATCCCGGAGTGACTGGCACAACCTAGTCACATGGTGTAAGGGTGTGCTATACTGTTTGCTATTCTTCAGTGGGCACCTATTTTCTGAATTCCACCAAATTTGATGGGCGCTGAGTCAAGAAAAACATGAGCTGTCCTCCGGACCTCCCCAATACTTGAATGTACATTCCTGGTGGTGGTTGTGGCAATATCCACGAAGCGCAAGAGCAGAGCTCAAATCACTGTATAAGTGCTCAACTTAGTCATCAAAACAGCAGCAAAAGTGGGACAGTGTAACTCTGGACTGTAAGTTGGGGGGACAATCATACAATCCATGTGGGCTACACTCAGGACTCAGGAAAAAAGCTTCCTTTTCCTCTTCCTCTTCTCTACAGGTGTGTAGGCGTAAACGCAGACCGATTACTCTCAAAAGGGAAATTGCGATCAATGAAGTTCCGCTTGAAGGGCAAGATCTCGAAGGCCGCATCAGTGTGACACTCAAAGGTTCCAAGGAGCCCAGTCAATTCACGCCTCCGGAACCATGAGTCATGGCTCATGACATGACTCATGACGCATATCCCCCCTTTGTGTACAAGTGCACAAGTACCAGTACAAGTGCCAAATGAAGGTTACAAAGTAGTAGCAGTAGTAGTAGTAGTAGTAATAGTAAAAATATGGCCAAGGCACATAGCGTAGCTTCCTGTGCACGCCCCTGCGCAGCCTTCAATGATGCGAACCCTTGGCAAGGCAAGAGTGGCTCCACAAGTAAACAGTAGGAAAACTCATGAAAAACACACCTCACTTCACATCTGAGTCATGTGAGACGTCAGACGAAAAAGCGCTAAAGACAAGTGGCTTGGGACGAAGCAATCTCTTCTTGGCGTCCAGGCCAATTGCAGCGCACAATGTGTGAGCCCAGTCGAGATACGGGGGACGAGAGTCCACATCTGTCCTCATGTGTTGCAGGTGCAGGAAATATCTTAACTAACTAACTATGAGGATGACCACGACTCCGACTACTATTTAAAAAACACATAGTATAACATGTGTTCATGCTCCATTCCGGTCTATCATAGGCATTGGGCATGGTGCCATAGCGCCGTAGTAGGATGACAAGTCCAGAACCCCAAAGTCAAAATTTGATCACCTACTCTACAGACCCCACAAGACCACAGACTGCACTCTGGCAAATGGACATGAAAAGTCCTCAGTGGAGCGCTAACAGCGTTTAGCCTGGCCTATCAGTGGTGCAGGCTCAATCGGAAGGTGTTGGGAGTTGGGACAGAGTAAAAAAAATCACAATTCAACTGTGTCTCGTTCCATCAGCGAGCGGTGAATCAGCGGCAAGGCATGGCTGGGATGAGGCAGCCATACTGCTTGAAAGCATGGGCCTTTTGATGACCCTCACCCACACAAATGGAGATGTGGCAGCACATTGGCCATTGAAAATCAACAGGTTTCTGGTGGTGTAGCACATGCATTGCATCCTTCCTGAATCCAATCATGACAGAGGCTTGGGCCAACTGGCTTGGATGCAAGGAAGGAGCCTGAAGGTGTCCTTTTTAGTCCTTGCCTCACATTAAAGCCTTCCTTTGTTGCCGATTTTGGGTGCGTTGTGTGGACCTGGGTTTTGGGAGTGGCGGTGGTGGAGGTGGTGGCGGTGGAGGTGGAGGAAGGAGTGGCAGCCTTTCATTTGTTGCTCTTACTGGAGGCGGTGGTGGGGGCAAAGGTATTCTTTTCTTCTGTGTTGCTGTTGTTGTGCCCCTGTTGGAGACACATGCTTGCCTGGGTGAAGGGGCCGGGGGGGGTGTTGGGGGTAATGTGTGTGTGTGTGTTGGAGTGTGGCCTGTGTGGGCCCCGATCAGCGCGCTTGATCCGAATCCTTTTTTTGACCTTTACTTTCATCCTTTTTCTTGCAAGAACCTTCCTGATCACCTTCCTTGTCATTCTATCCAAGCCAGGTGGAACACCTTTTCTGAGCCATTGATCTTCCATTGAGAAAGACTTAGGCAGCTCAGTGCAATGCAAAAAACAACACTAGAATGCTGTTTGGTTATGAAGTGAAAAGGACAGTGTATTACCAAGGACAGTGTCTATTACATAATGGCCTGGGTGGGCATCTTACATATAGCACCAGGGATTTTAGAAATAGCACCAACTCCCCCAAGCTTCCCCAACAGAGAGGGTTGAATAAAGAGGCCCACCCAGGCCCTAAGACCTGTCTGATGAGGAGGAGGCTCCGCGGCAGGGTAAGAGCAGGAAGGAGAAACCAACACCGAAGCCGAAGACAACACCAAAAAAGAAACCAAAGGCTTCTGTAAAGAAATCTCCAAAGGCCAAGGCTTCTCCGAAAGCCAAAGCAAAAGGGAAAGCAAAAGGCAAAGCAAAAGCTAGTGCAAAGAAAGAACGAAAGGGAGAGCCATCCAGGAATGAGGTCCAGCCAGAAGAAACAAAGCCTCAAGAATCTCAGGTAGAGACGCTGCCAGTTTTGAAGAGGCCAGCTGCGGCAGGTTCATTGAAGCGTCCGAGCAAGAGCAGCGACGAGCTTCGCTGTTACAAGTACCAGTACCCGTCCAACAAAGTCTACGGCTTCAAGCTCTCAAACCCGAAGAAGGAAGTCTTGAGGGTCGGGGTGGTAGTATGTTTGATTTGTATACCTTTGTGAACTGTTGCTGTGTGTCTTTATTGTTGACTACTGTTTCATCCCTGGAAGATGAAACCTCGGGATGGAGTCCCGGATGAGAAATTCCATGAGATCGCTGCATCTTGGTTGTTGAGACTTCCAGTAACATTCACACTCTAAACTTAATCACTTACTTTGTGCTTGCTGTCACTTCTGCGCATGGACATATTATATTTCTGTGCATGAACATGTCTCAGGAATTGCTGCGCCTCGAGCTCTTGAAGCACAATGGGGATACCGGTCCCGCTTTGGCCATGAGGGTGGGGGCTATAACTCACTGTGTGCGCATGACATGAGCTTTTACTGTGTTTGTGTGTAATGTGCTTATGTGTGTTGCTGGGTGTTGTTGGCATGTTGTGGCAGGATGCTTTGCTTGATGCTGCGGCGCGAGACGCCGCCAACACGAAGAAGGATGATGCGGACCAGGAGGAACCTGAACCTGCAAAGACAGAACATGACGACGAGCATGACGAAGGTGAAGACGGTGAAGAGGAGGATGTGGAGTTGGATGAAACTGTCCATGTAGGATGATCGAACTCAGTGCGATGGAGATGAAAAAAGCTTGTACCTGTGTGCTGATGGGTTGGCGCAACGTTTTGTCAGTGCATGTTGTCCTGCTGCTTGGTTCCCCCTAAAGAACTGGAACCCTGGTTAGAAACTGGAACCCCAGTTACTAAGCAAAAATTTTGTGTGTATTAAATAGCATTAAAGAAGGGAGACCTTCCAGTTCACCCCGTGGGAGAAATTGACTAGTCCAGCCAGGGGCGACCGGGGGTCTCCTTATTACACACCCATCCTCACCCTCCCTGGTCGACTGGCTGCTGAGCCAGTCAAGCTCACGCCACCCCCCAAAGCTCCCCGCGCGGTTCACGCGATGTCTCGCGCGGTTCCCGCGTTCGACCGCGTCTCTTCTTTGGCCAAGCCCTTCTCGCGCGCCAGGCGGCAGGCGATGTCCACCGCCTCGGAGAAGCGCACCTCGGAGAGCGACCCGGTCACGACGAAGACCCCAACGAGATCGGCGGTGTGAGATGCGTCCGGCAAAAACCAACCAAAGAACAGGTGTGTTTTGTTATGGCATCTCCTTTACTGCGTCCAACCAGTGTAAGAATCTAAGAATCATCTATCATCACATCATGTTTCAGAGCTAAATTCATCTCTGGGCTTTGCTCTTAGGCTTCTCTTGATCTATTTCTTCAAAATGAGTTTGTTCACTCATTCTGATCAAACTAATTGTGCTGCTCCGCCTCCGGCGTTTCTGTTGCATTCTTCCTTCTGCATCGTGGTCATTCTCCAGTCTTCGTCTCTGCCCGCCCCCGATGTTCTTCTCAGCGCTGCCTTGTAGGAGCCTTCCTTCTCCACCCGTGTGGCTAAATCTTGAGCACCCCGATCGCCTTTCGCCAGGGCTCCGTGCGCCGCTTCCAGTTCCGAACGCGACGCGAACGCGACCGGAGATGACATGGAATGTCTGGGCATGTCTACTACCAAAGGCCCCACAAACCATCAAACACCAGGTGTTCCCTAGCAAAAAAACACATGGTTTTGTATGTGAAAACCGTTGTTGTTCATGGTCAACTGAGGGCCCCTGGTAGGCTATAGGCAACCTGGAGCGGATTGGCTTCGAACACTGCGAAGAACACCTCTTTGGATGAGCTACTTCTGTGTGAAGTCAAGTGTCTAACAAAGAGCACCACGTTTGGACGCGTTTGGATCATTTGGCCGAATTCCACAGAGCCCTCCATACCCGGGGAAGAAGTAATCCACAAATGCCGGACCAGTTCGCCCGGAGTTGGACCATGACATATATGAAATCCTCACAGAATCCTTATACCAGCAACCGACTCTACAGGTCTCCGAAATGAAGGGTTGTAAGGCCCTAAGAGGTCTCAATTGGTGACTTATTGGAGGGTGCTGGTACCAAAGAAGTGGTTTTCACTCCACATCCATGATGATTCCAGGCAGTGCAGCTAGACTCTGGACCTGCCACCCTTTTGATGTCCAAAGCAGCCTCGACCCGCACTCGTCCACCTGCGCTGCTCCACCCACACTCGTCCCACACCCCGTCCCTTAGACGTGGCGCTGGTCCCATAGACGCCGTGCAGCAAGGAGACCCGGCGCGCCACCTGCCAACGCGAGGCGCGGCGCAGTCCAGCCGTGAACGATGCGTCGGAACCAAACGCGTCGACAAAAGGCCGCCTCCAAGCACTTGCACACCGCCAAGATGGGCATCCCAGGCCTGTGAGGTGCTTCAACATGTGGCAGATCAACACCGAATGAATCCCAACGACATGAATGCAAATGGCTGAGTAAGAATGATTAGACTGGCCCGAAACAAACCTCTTTGACCCCACAAACCCATGGCTTTGACACATGCTATGGGGCATCCATGTAGATATTCGCGAAAGATTGGACTCGCCCGGCATGAAGGAATCTCGACCAAAAAGCTTCTCCGATGGTTTCCCTCTCTGTTCCTCATTCTGCCTCTTCTGCGCCAGCAGCTGTGCAGTGCGGCCGGTGGCCGTGAAAACGACGATCGTACACGCCTTGCAGGCCTGGGGGCTCCGGAAGTGCCGCGTGCAAGCCCTCAGCCCTCAACGTTGCAAGCTTCCGGAAGAAGAAACGATCCTCCTTTTCTTGATCATATGTGTACTATGTCGTCACCGAGAGCTGATAGCTGCACAAAACATCCAGAAAGCGCAGCAAACCAAATCACACACCCTTCCCACACGTGACCCTTTTGTTTTGATCCAGCTTGGGCACCTTGGCCAAGCTGGCTGCTGCTTTCAGCACTTCGTCTGTGCCATCATCTTTGCCATCATCTTTCAGCTTCAGTGTTTCCGGGACCGGCGGCATCGACACCTGGTTGGCCTGGCATCGACGCGTTGGGCCCCCGCGACCGTGGCAGAGGGAGGTTGCACATTCATGGTGCCTCGACAATCCATAGGACCCTCCAACAGGCTAACAGGTGGTTTCTGGAAACCGGTTGTCAGCAAACACCTGTTGAGTCGGGTGCTGGTATGCAAATATCGCCTACATTGGATGGTTTTTGGTGAATGTAGGCCATATTTACGCCACCATGGATCCTCTGGGTGGGTACTCCGGATGCTATTCCTTTTTGGGCCAGTAAGGTTTGGAACAGGACTGTCCCGGACGGGCAGCGACCCGCCACTTGAAACCAAACCGGCGGCACCGGGGGCAGCGAGCCGGAGCTGGTGTCCCGGCACAGTTTGGGGATGTCGCTGGTGAAAACCACCTGACAAACCTATAGGGAATGGATCCAAATGAATTAATATCTGCAGGGGGCAGGGGGCTCTCCCAGCAAGTCAAAGCGGAATGGACTGAGACTGCGTTGGAGGTCATGTTGTACATGCCATCGAATGCCGTAACTCCTTTGGCCAGTGACCTTCATAGGCATCTCCAGATCTCAACCTGAACCCATAAGCTTAATTTGACCCACCACCCACCCACCACCAGCAGCAAGAAGACCCTCCTGCAACCAACGACCCATGGACCGAACAGCTGACTTGGTCCCACCCGACATCCCCGTCTCCTGGGTGGCTTCGATGACTCTCCTCTGGATCGTCACTGCCTTGGTGGGGTACCTGGCGCACGCACCGACGCACGACTCGTCCTCACGCCAGATCCGAACCTCCGAAGGGGGGGGACGACGGAAGACGGAAGGCGTTTCGGCGGAAGGGATGAGCGGCCATCCGGACCTGCCCGACTCAGATCCGGCCCTCCGGCCCCGAGCCAATGGGGGATCCGGGATCGAAAGCGATCTACAAGGGCCCCCGGGACCCCTGGAAGCAAAGCCCCTTGTGTTGTTTCGGGTACGGATCGGGTGGGAGCAAACGAAGCACCGGAAGACCCACGACAGCTGGGTGTAATTGCGCAGAATGACGAAGCACCATGCCCCTGTATACAGTGTTGTGTCACCTCTGTGCTCATTGCAAAGGAATTGAATCGAGAGTACATTTTAGCAAACAAATGGTCACGCGTGTCTCCACGCGTGTCTCTCACAGATTGTCTCTCCGCCATCTTCTGAATTTCCATTCCGCGACCCCGGAAATTTCACCGGTGTTCCAGCAGAGGTTGAAGAACCCGACTGTTCGACTATCCCAGTTGGATACCCCAGGTTTTCCGGGGCTCCGAACGTTCAGAACCCACTTCCCTCCGATTCGGTCGATGTGTTCCGGCATGCTGACAGCTCGACAACGTCCGCGAGAGCACTCGCCGACCGCCGACTCGCCGGACAGCATCACGCAATCGCAGCCGTCCAGGATGGCGTTGGCGATGTCACTGCATTCCTCGGGTGGGGTGTGGCATGTGCCAAAGGCAGGTTCCAAGTTGGGGGGGGGGGTCAGGTGCTTTAGGAATCAAACAAGCAACAAAAACTGGACTGATTCTATTGCACCTGTGAGAAACCAATAGGTAGCCACTTGGTGGTGCGGCTGAACGGCTGGTCTATACCCTCAGAAACGCTCGACTGCTGCTTTCACATGTGGTTTCATGCTCCATCTTTTTGTCGCGGAGAGTCCGCCCGCGTCGGCGTCGGGTTCTTGATCATGCTCTCCAGCATCTGCGTTGCGACAATCACTGGCTTGCCCTGCTCCTGGGCCCAGCGTCAACTCGTTTTCTGCGTCAAACTTTTTCAGAAGGACCCACCAGCGTCCATGGGGAGGGCATGTGCCACGACTCAGCATCAACAACGGTGCCCTCCTTGTCAAGCAAATGTTTATCGCAGTGAGTTGCTGTAGGTCACTGTAGTCAGTGCAGGTTGAGCAAGAAATGACATGAGTGTACCTGCTACCCTGGATAGATACCAATTCCTGTCCCGGATGCTAAAAAATAGCTTTTTGCAAGTTCTCGCAACATTTACGTCCATCTTGTGAATTTACGTCCTTTTGAAATGCTGAACGGTTTTTCACGTCCAAAGCCTAAATACTATTGATATATTTGAGTGTTGTGAAAAGACCAAGTTCAGCGATTACGGTAAAACACGTCCCGGACAACAATTCTCGTCCTTGCATACCAAAAGACAACAATTAGCGACATGGACAACAAAAGGTGGTTATAAGGTTTAGCAGGTAATTAACTGTTGATAGAACCATCCCAAATCCGGATTCAGAAAACCTTTTCACAGGGTGTCCGATAGTTCGATTCATCGAGATTCTACATTACAAAGCCCTCCAATGACTCCACCTGCTTAGGGATGACCCATCAGCCACACTGAAACGACTCTGAGCTACGTTGGCAGCACGGATGATCCGCTTCTGAACGAAGGGCACCTGAAGAAAACGATACAGCCACAGGGCGCTCGCATGCGCTCGCGCACCACATGAAGGCATTTGGGCATGTCCCCCTTTCAATTTGAGGGAGCCAACCTGAATAGACCCATCGTCCTCATGTCCATGGAAGGTCTCAAATGTCTGATATTCACCGCAAGCACCAGTGAGGCACCTGTCTACAGAGTCTACAGGAAGGATGTCAAGTGATCCGCCACTGCCGTCTTTTCCCCCCATGCCGTCTTAGCGACGTGGTGTAGCGGTGCAGTTCTTCAGGTTGACGGTACTGATCTACCCAGACGCGAAGTCTGGACCCGAATTCCTTTGGAGGGGTCGGACCGCTATGTTCATGGAGGGGTCTGGGGTCGAACCAATCCCTAGGGTTTTGAGGTACCAGTCGAGCTGTGAACGGAGCGTAGATCAACACGACCTCTGGGACTACCATATTTGCCGAGAGTTCCGGCCAGGGGTGGTGCCAGGGAGGTCGGCCTCTGGGTCGGCAGTCCTGGCAGGCAGTCCCAAAGGTCGTGTTTGGGACATGGAGCGTTCAGGGATAGCGGACTGGGCCATGCAGATATATCAGGGCGTACCCAAATCTCCCGGACCTGTAGTCCTGATGGTTCTTATTGAGAACCATGTCTCATCGGAACTGAACAGCCGTGCTGTGGATCAGATTGCAGGTGATTTTAAGACGTTCTTCTATTGAGAACCCAGTCCTTGGCTCCACAACAGGGGGACACCACCCCCTGGCCGCCCTGCTTAGTTCACGCCTCTTCCGCTGGCATCTCTACGCCCAGATCCCCTCGCGCCACCATGACGCCATCGGATTCTTCCAAAATATCTGGGAGGAAAGCGGAGCCACGGACGCTTGCCGCGCAGTTTCCATCGGTTGATCCGAAGCGAACTGTCATGAACTTTCTAGACAGTACCTGTTCTGGTTTGGTGGGGTGCCATCATAGCACTTCTCCCAAAATAAGGTGAAGAAGTGTATCCACTGACTGACTGGGTACTGCTATGTGATTGGGGTGAAAGAAAACGTGTTCAAAGGGGTTGATCAAGTCAAATGATATCATGGATGGAAGAGGAATTCATCCACCTGTTTAATGGTTGGTCTTCGGATTTCATGGTCATCCAACGGGCCATGCCATCCACTTCTATGATTAATAACTATTTCAGGGAATGTAGACCCAGCATAGACTTAGACTCATGGACCAATGGAGTTAGCAGTGTTCCTTCTCCAAGTGTTTCTGATGGCCAAGTTCACCACTCAAATGTGGATCAATTGCCGGGCGGCGTATCTAAACAGCCACGGCCACGAAAAAAAATGTTGATCCAGACCCGATTTGCAAAGCGCAAATGCGCATGGCGCATCCACAAAACCCTCCAACCATGCGAATCTAATCATTACTCGCCTGCCAATTACCATTTAACCCCAAATCCTACTTGGTTTGTATTTGGAAAAGTGGTCGAACCCACCGGTGAAAGTCGCGGGTTCCATGTCAGTTTGCGGACGGGTAAACTGTGTGATCCTCATCCAAACGATCCGAAATGAAAGCCTGCAAGTCATTCCGGCCTCCCCACCCTCCGGAAAATACTCTTTGCGGCGGTCGCACGCGGGACTCGCTTCAGATCTAATGATGTGTTTTACAGACCCACAGCGGACCCGGCCGAGCTTCCAAAATAGAACGGCAGAATCCTATTCCGGTGTGGTCGAGAATCAACGCGACTTCCTCTCTTTCACCGCCCTACTAAGAATCCGGACCCTCAAACACATACCAGGTTTTGAGGGCCCGGACCCCTGCGAAGGTGTCGGGTCCGACCCCTGCCATTGGAGAGCCCAAGGCTTCTTAGGGCGGAATAAACAAGGCGAGACTTCCCCAACGGAGGAGCCGATCTGCGCCGGGTGATCGGTGGCAAGTCGTCCAAGTCGCTCTCGAGATCGTCGACCGCTGAGGGCTTCTCAATCTTGGCCAAGAGCTTGATCCTCAAGCGGTTTGTGCGCGCGTGGGATTCTCAAGCAGTTGTGGGGGGGACCCCCCTGAACCCGAAGCCCATCAAAGGTGTCCAAAGCTCTGAGATGTTTGGATTGCTTTTGATGCTTTTGCAAGGGGGGGCATTCATGAGCATTCTGGACTTCATGATCGTTGACTGGGATTTGCTGGAGGAACTCACACATCACCTTGCCCCTCAACCTAAACATGGAACCTGAGAATTCACCGGTGGTTTCGACCATTTTCCTCTACAACCCGACGTGGTTTTAGGGTTCCATGTGGTCCTCTACAGGCGATTAAGGAAAACATGGTAAAATCAGGTTGACAGCTGTAGTGAAACCAGGTGATGAAGCGTTTGTCACATGACCCGGACCATGCGGAGATCCAGGTGACCGAGGACCATGCGGACCAGCCGGAGCCCGGCCCAGTGGTTCGAGACACTACCAGGACCATCCAGTCGGGGTGCGCTGTGAAGCCACGCTAGGTAGTGTGGGGTAGTTCATTGGACACCCAGACAGGATGGTCCTGGTACATTGAGTTGGTTGAAAAGGGGTCAATGCATGATAATGTATGCACATATGCCAGTCCCATGGAGTGTATGGGGGTTCGACCCTGTGGAAAAGAGAGAATAAACTACAACGCATTGGTGGGCGGGGTTCCCTACGAAAATGCACACAGGGGATGGTGCCATCTACTCTCAATCCACCTTCTTAGATTTGCTTAAGGATTCGGGAGTGCTTTTCCAAGAAGGGGATTCACCCAAAGGGATAAAATCGTCGCCCACCAGGATCATCCTGTCTGGGTGTCCTGGCGTTCGACATAGCCTACCCTACGTCAACGGGTCTCCTACTCCAGGGCACCCGGACAGGAAGTGCTAGGCCCTGCTAGGCAGGCTTTTGGTCTTTCACTCTACTTTCACTCACCTACCTGGACCTTCAAAGGGTGTCCTGTCTGGAGGTCCCTTGGTAGGGCCGGACCCATTGGTGACCCCTTTGAAGATGGTACTGACTCACATGCCGAGCCACTCATTGAAGCCATGACCATTCACGCGCCTCCGGAGTTCACCCATATCATCTGCGGTCTGGACGAAGGACATGGCAATCCAATCCACCTGAGCCTTACAGGCGAACTCAATGTCCTCCTTATCCTCCGAAAGGCAAAGAGGACATGGCAGTGAGCCTGGCACTGGAAACACCCTCAAAAAAACCAGCGGACCCCGATTTTTTTGCTGGCAACATCTGGGCTTGGAGATTCTTGAGCTCCCTGCTTCTCTACTTCAGCAGCCATGAAGAGTATCTCTGTGTCTTTATATATGTTGTTCTGTCGTATTCGCAGCCCTCTTTTGAAACTTCTGCATCTTTATGTTTTCTCTCTTCTTCTCTCTCTCTCTCTCGCGTCAAGTATGTAGATCACGCAAAAAGTCAAATCACCTTTGACAACTTTCAGTCACCAACAGTTGGTTGGCAACGGCTTCACCTGATAGTTACATCCACGGCCTGCCGTATGATAATGAGGGTCAGGTCGAAGCACAAGGAAAACGCAGCGAACATGAAGCGATCAAGACACTGCCGTGGTTCTGAAGGGTTTCACTTGTGGTAGATACCAAAACCGCAAGAAAAGACTGCCTCAAGGAGAGGCAGAACGCGAGAGAACCGTTGAACCATCAGGTGGTGTGAGCCACCGCCGGGCCACCGCCCCCCCCCCAAACCCTCCAAACGTCCTTCTCCGTAATCGGGGACATGGGCAGAATCACATCAGGCGTGTTGACCTGAGCAGTCCAAAGCCAAAGCGACTCTTGGCAAAGCATCACAGTGGTTTCAATGGTTCGAGGGCACTGGCAGGCACCCGAAGATGTCTGGCAGTCAGATGAAGGTCAAACAGTTTGAACATCCGTGAAACCTCTCCAAAAACCTGCAGCCCCCCCCAGTTTGACCACCATGCCACCCCCGCCATGTTTCTTCTTTCGATCCAGGTGGCTCCTTTGTTCGCCTTCAATCGTCCAGCCACCGTGACCTTGCAATCCACGAAGGGGTTGCCATCCTGAACGGTGCTGGCCGACGGTGACAAAGCCCCACGGCCATGCCATGGCACGTGCGACACCAATGCACGACACGTGCTTCATCGATGTATTGGAACTGGAACATGTCACCTACCTACAGACCTGGGTGCTTTTAAGAGGTTTCAAGATTTTCAAGGGTCAATTTAGGGTCTCCAAACAGCCTGTTGGAGGGTCCTGGTAGCTAGCGCAAGAGCCACGCTTTCGTGACAAAAAGACTTCCAAGCTGGGCCGGCCATGTGCACCCCAAGCCCAACGAGGTTTTCAGCATCAGGGCGATGAACACATGGCTGAATACGTTTTTTGAACCAAACACCAACAGCAGGCGTCGACTTCTCTTCGGGCTTTAGGCCCCCAGTAGGGAGTTGTCCCTCCACTCATCGAAACGGCAGCGGAGGTATCGGAGTCTTGGATGTTTGCAAAAGGACAATGTTCCAGGACCCTCCTGTCGGGGTGTCCTGGCTGAACTACCCCACACTACCAATAGGCTTCCATTGGGCACCCCGACAGGAGGGTCCTGGTTGGATGTTTGCATGGCCATGCTCTTGTTGGCCTCCAAATAGCCCTGCTGGAGGATCTCCATCTGGATGTTCCCATCCTCAGCAATGAAAGGAACTCGAACGCCACTCCCAAAAATGTCCACAACCCTTGCCCCACACGTCAAACAAGTAGCCTCCAGAAGTTTTGTTCATGTTGGGGGTGAAGCTTGAAAGCTTGGAAGGAGTTACAGTAGTCATCCTAAAGCTTTTCAGCCAACTCTATCAACGTCAACGACGGAATGTTTCTCGCCATCTTACCCTGCAGTGAATCTCATGTATTCCAGCCAATCTGCACCTGGAACCTGAGTGACCTCTAGTTTTGACCTTCAACCACACAAAAAACACGTATTATACATTTTCCGATCAAAACAGGGGGGTCAATTGGATTCTATATTAATTATATGCTCTTCATCCAGGTTCATCTCAGGCTTCGGTTTCCAAACTTCCCTCCTAAGACTGGTCCTAACCTCCTTGAGAGCTCAGCTCAGGGGCATCGAGAAGCAGCTTGCTCTGTGGCTTCAGCGCATTCAAGATCTCCGGATGCGGCAGTTGAACGCGAGTCTCATCTCCCAAGTCGGGCTTCAAGTCGAAACGGAACCTCGACCAGCTGCGTTCCATGTTGGACACGGCGAGGCACGCTAGTGACAGTGACAGGTGATTCTTGGACAGTGACAGATTCTATGAAAGAAGAATTCAAATGTCGTTGGTTTCAACACCAAGCTCTTCCTGGAGCGCCAAAGGCAATACAAAGATTGCATGTTCCAAGAAAAGCCGTGGACTGCGGCACCAACCTACACCCTAAATCGCCTTTTGAGACAGGTTTGCCCAAAGCTCTGAAGCTCGCGCTGTGCTGTGGGAAGTTCTTATTAAATTCACTTCCTCCAAGTTGCTTTTGGCCCTTCTTCAACTCCACACCATCGGGATCTGCAAACTTTCCGCATCTTTGTTTGGGCCCCTGCCTCGGCAGCTAACCCGAGAAGAGATGGCATGAGATAGCAAAGAGACCAGGATAGGCCAGGTAACCTGCTACAGAAAAACAACAAAAACTGTCCTGAACAGCAAAAAGGCCACTGTTCCGTCTAGGAGGCAAAAGGCAACCCCAGATGCGACACAGAACGAGTCAAGAATCTCTGCAGGTTCACTTTCAACAAGCCCCCATCAGTTCGAGCATTGGCATTAACTAAAAAGCGATAACTATGCTTCTGAGATGTTCTGCTTGGCCCCGCTATCCCAAGTATAATCAAAAGCACCAAAGAAATTGGATCACACCTCCGGCGCAAGCACCTCCGGCTTGCCAGGCCCACATGCCGCCCAAGTGGCATATCCGCCAAGATGGCGATGGGGTGGCGATACTTGGCCTCCAATGCTCGGATCTTTCGGATCAGCTCCGTCTTCTCCTGCGCGGAGCTGTCTCCAGGTCGGGAGAGACCCACCAGGGACCGATGTGAACAGTTGTTTTTTGTTTTTACAATCCCTACAAGTCCAGTCTGACCCAGTAAAACCTGGTCTTTTAAACCATCCTAGGTCCTTAAGTATTGGTTTTGTATGACCATCCCCAGTACAATGAGGTCAAACTGACCTTGTAGGGAATGGAAGGTGAAAAGACCTGAAAGTCTCACTCGACGTTCCAGAAGGGTCATGGTCCCATTTCCCAGACGCGACACATGGGACTGCCAGGACGGACTGCCGACCCAGACAGACCCCCCTGGCACCACCCCTGGCCGCTTCTCGGCAGTCCTATTCCAGTCCCAGGCAGGTCGCGTCTGGGATTTTCTAGAGCACTTGTCCCACCCCCGTGTGCAGGTGGACCCGGTCTACCCAAGAGCACCTGTCCCCCGGCCGCGCCGACTGGAGGAAGGTCCAAAAAGCAAGCTTTCGGAGCAGGCTCCCATAGGTTCCCGCGATATTGGGAGGAGGGGGAGAATGAAATTGATTCTTGGCTCCTTGGCTCCGGTGCAGGGGAAGATCAAACCGAGTTGTAAGCACCAGATTCACTTCTGTCCGTCAAACCAGATTCACTTGTGATGCTCGGAGCATTGCGTCTTCAGCGGTGTTCGTCCTAGACACGGAGACCACGGTCCCACCTCATGGTCGCCATGCGAGAAGTTCAGCCTGAAGGTGTCTACCCCACAAAGGAAGAGCCTTTCCAGCATCTCCTGCCACGGAGTGGCACAGCCATATCATCTTCCTGGGGTTTGTGAGGAATCCTTCTAGCAAGGCAGCACAATAAACAGATTCACCACAAGACCTCCGCCTGACCCTTGACATCGACGACCAAACACCACTAGACCCAACCAAGTTGACCATCTACATCATTTACATCATTCATCTACAAGATCCTTCACTGACACGATGATCATGCTCATGACAAGGGTTGTCAAAAACACTTGGCTACTTCAAACAAATGCAAACAAAAAACTCAAGCATTCCGAAGCGCTACTCCGTCCTAAACGAGAAACGATCCTGGCACAGTAGTGCCTTCTAGTGTACTATATGCATATATATATGCAGTACATGCATAATTATAATATACTTAAACATTAGTATACAAGTTATGAATTGGTCACTTGCAGTTGTAAATGCAATGTCAACTGGATGGGCATATCCACAAAATGGGTCATGTTCACACCCTTCTTTCACACCCTTCTTGCCCGACTCACTCGACCTCCTCACAACTGGCAGGCCCTAAAGTCGCCACTTGTTTGGCGCCTTTGGAACATCCACGCACCTGGCGAACAGAATTCTTCCGTCCACGAACAGGAATTTTGCCGCAAAGAATGGGCCTAATTCATGTAGACTAGTTTCCTAATAAACCCCCGATATAAAGGTTGGTTCACCCCGCACGGACGGAACCGGATGGAAACGGGCACCTATACCCTTCAATCTCACAGCTCGCGGTATCCATCGCTGATGGAAACTGAGGTGCCCCCAGGAACATTCGTGAGCCAAAAGCATGAGCCCTCACTGGATTTGCTTCCCTATAGTTAGGGGTGACCCATGTTCTGAAGTTCCAAGAGTGATGCATCCACTTGGTTATGGAGATGTCAAGGGACCTGAACTAGGACCCTGGTCTGTGGTACATGATGGGATGGGCTATACGCAATTAAGGCTGTGAACAACTTCTCTTGGGATTTCAGGGCGGCTCGGTCGCCACTCTTCAAATTCTCTTCCATGCGTGTCGACTCGGTCATCGCCGCCCGCTCGGGCCTTTCTCTGCCCCATGTTGATCACCGCATCCGCAAGACCACCTTGCGCTTCCAGCCCCTCCAGCACTTCTTCTGAGATGCCATCGATCACATCATTTTTCCAAGGTGGGGAGCCTCGGCTTTTTGCAAGTCTAGACCGCGGCAAGGACCAAGAGAGGTTTTTCACAGCCTTATAGGGCGCCCATCCCATATATGTACCACAGACCAGTGTCCTAGTTCAGGTCTCTCAACCTCTGGTCGGATGGGAGGTCGTTGGTCCGTGGACTTGGACTGGTTTTCGAAAACGGGAGAAAACCGGTTGACCCCCGAACATGAACAGAACTTTCACTACCTGGGAGGTCAATCTATGATTAGAGTTTTGGGTTTTAACCCACAGTCATATGAATGATATATGCTCGGCTCATGCTTCTGAACATTTCGACTCTTTCTGGTGGGGAAGCCTGTTGGATCATGCGTGCCGCGTGCTGTCAAGGTAGAAGCCGGATGTCCAAAACAGATGGACCATGCGTGCTTGTTTCCCGCACAGGTGCTGTCATCGGGAACCGTGCATTGGGAAACTGATGAAGCCACAAAAACGATCCGTTGAGTATATCCCAAACACCTAGGGATCCTGAGCCCAGTGGTTGATGGTTACTAAAGGCCTTTCTCATCCTTTCTCTCTAAGATGATGCCGTTGTAGGTATTGGGACAGGCGATGACAGACCCTAACTATCAGGGCATGAATTCTGTTGCAATCCTTCCTTGGAGAATTCGTTCGACATCATCTGCCCCACAAGGCACCACCATGCTTGCTACGGCACGTCCGAATCCAAACGAGCAAAGGTCAATTTGTGTCAGGTCTAGCTGACAGTAATCATTCACCAAAATCCCAAACATTCCAAAACAGTATGTGCATGTATGTGCGTTCTCTCAAGCAAATCCACTCCCAAGTAGCAGGAATCTCCATCTACCTCGGTGGGAATGTACACAATCATCCCCACCCTTCGGGTTACTCCGCGCCGTCGCCCCCGCCCTGCCGTCGCCACCGCCACCGCCGCACTCGCGGCCACGACGGGCGCGTGGCACGGCGCGCGGGACGGCGCGCGGGACTGTCCCGGGGCGGGGGCAAGGGCTCGGCTGGGCAGTGCCCGGTGTGGGGGAGGCCCGGCGAAAAAGCAAGGCGTCGCCATGGATGGAAACGGGAACCGGCTCAGCCCTGGAGCAAAACTGCGGGACGTTGAGCGCCTTTGAAATCGTCTTTTTGTTTCTTTTCCAGGGCTCCAAGCTTCAGTGTTCAATCCAATCGAATGTACAGCGTGTGGCTGTACGTTGTCTCTATGTTCCTCGGTGCCGTCGGAGAATAGAGGCTTCCCTCGTCGACGTTGCAATGTTTGAAGGTCCTCTCCCAAACACTTCGAGTCCGGACCCCAAAAAGCAGGAAGAGGATGGAAGAGGTAAGGAACCCCAAAACCAGATGTCCATCATCTAATTAGTGGACATTCTCATCTAGCTCTGGCTGCACTTGCCCAGGAATGTCACTTTTCTCACCTTCCGTAGGCTACTGGCAAGACCATATGGCTGCATGAAGCGTTATATCCTAAGGATATATCTCCAGCTTCCGTTGCAATCTCTCCCCACCTTGGCCGCAGGCTTGGTCACTGCCTTGGGCCGTGGTGGGCCTTTGCCTTTGCCCTTTGCTCGCGTAGGTGGGTGATCCGGCGGATGGTCGCTGGGACCTGGCGCGGACCGGGCCGGTTCCGGTCGGAGTGGGTGCCAAGGACCAAAGCCAATCCCTATAGGGCTCCAAGTACTTCGTTTCAAAGGTGTTTAGGGTGGGTGCCAGGAGGGTCCAGATACCGAACCTGAGGAGGTACGACTAGAGCCCTAGGGAATATAAGGTCTTTGAAGGTGATGTGATGTGGTAAAAAGTGATGGAGGTTTCGGAACCACACGGCCACCACCGAAGATGGTGCAGAAAACCACCCAGGATGAGTCGGGTCTGGAGTGCGTGTGAATGCTCCAAACGTCAAACACATAATGTCGGCGAGTTTGTTGTGCATTGTTGTGCTATGTTCAAAAAAGATTGAATATACACGTATATGACTACCATAATCCGTCTGTGGCTAGAACTCTATTATTATGATGGATTGAGTTGATTGTTGCTTGTAATGTTTTCGCGTTATGTGCTGGTTCTTCGTGGTTAACTTGTTAACTTTTATGGTTCTGGGATCGTGGTATGGTTCAGGTGCAATACTTCAACACTTTACTTTGAAAAAA